GTTCGTCAGCAGCGACGTTATGGCCCTAAGGCTGAGCGCATTGCCAAAGTTCTTGGTTGCACGTACATATTTTTAATGTGTATGTTTGCGGTTGCAAGTCGTGAGTGTCGCCGTCAATTAAAAGCAATACTTAAATAGACTTATTAGGGAAGCACTATACTGTTGATCTTGCGCTTGGAACACTCATTGGCTCACTAACTTATTTCCGTTTCCGCGACTCGTGGTCGAGGGATCCAGTCAGTCTGGACCGCATGGATGTATGTATATACTCTAGAACCCTTTTTCTCGTTGGAACAGCTTTTTCAGGTGGTTGCTCGATATTATTCCTACGATCTTGATCTTTATTCAACCAAAATGTACCCATAAGGCTCGGAATTGAAGAAAGGCCTATGCGGTGGATGAATCGACCAAAGAACGCGGTGCCTTCCCAATATAGTGTCCTTCGAAGGCTGGTGCTCACATTTTCTTTGAATTTGAAATTTAAGCTGCCACACAAACGCCGACATTCTTTTTCTCTGCCAGCGGCCCGCCCTCGCTTCACCCGTCGGGTTTGACTCGCCCACCCGTGGGCGTTTCGGTCCTCTGGCTGGAGAATAGTAGGACCCACACTATGGAGATGACCCTGCTCAGTCCCCCGATATGATGGAAGCAATACGAAGCCATGCGCATGATGGAAACACTACCAAGACATGATGAACAGAGACTGCCGCGTATTCATGGTTGGCGATTGCCTCCACCAGGCCATTTCCTACCTCTATAGATAGTGAACTCGGGCTTTGGGATCTGGGGTGGTAAAATTTAAATCAAACCGATTGAGGCGTACTCGGGGGGACCTCGGGTGACTTCCCCTGGGTCCCGGGCGACTTCCTGGCACCTGTTTTCTGGGCCGGTCGGTCGGTCGGTCGTCGTCGCCGCCGCCGCCGCCGCTGCCGCCGCCGCCGTCGTCGTCGTCGCGCGCGCGGGGGAGTTTCGAATCTAATTCAATCGCAGGGCGACCTTAGAGAGGTGATGAGTTGCCCAATGCCAGCTGCCACTGTAGCGTGCAGGTTAGATTAAGAGAAGTATTATGAGCAAGCTAAGGGGGGCAAAATTAAACCGACCATTCCGGTGCCGTAAACACGCGCCTTCTCCTTATGGGCCCACAGCGTTAATCCTGACCCAAGACTCTTTACCTTCGTTACATAAATCAAAATTACCTGTGGCTGCTGCAAACAACAGCCTCTGTGTCAGCTTTGGCTTGACCGTAAGGTCCAGACTTGTGACGTCATCCCACAAGTTGCGGATGACACTAAAACGGTTCGCACCGGCGTTCGCAGCTATGGAAATGCGACTATTGTTACCGCAACAGGTCAGCATGCAAACTCTCAGCTCCTCAAACCTACTTATCATCAGCGGGTCGGACAGAGACTTGCTACCGCTCCGCTTCGTAATTCCGCCCATAAGCTTCTCCACTTGACTGTTCGCTGCAGCTGTTATTTCGGCTGAGGCGTCCCCTAGCCTTTCCAAGGACTGAACCAGTCTAACAGAGTTGGCCTGCTGTCCACGCGGAGCGGGCGGACCTGCAGGGGGGACGTGATCTGCCCCGCCGACGCCTGGGGTTTTCCGACCATCTGGCTCTTTAAAGTTCTGAGGCGGTAGACCCCATGTCCCTAACAAGCACTACGTAAAACCCAGCAATCTCAATTAATCAAGCTATGGACGATCCCCGCGACTGCATTTTGGCTCGAGGGAGGGTGTGCGTTGGCACGATTTGGGAGAAGGGGGGTGAGATTAAGACTGCGAAGTTTCAGGTCTGAAGACCATGGGGTTGGGCGCGCGCGCCATCGTCTAAAAGGCCATAATATGTGCGGTGTAGTGAGGGTGAGGGGTCGC